ACAAGTTGCTCCCACGTCCAGTGAGAGAGAGCTTCTAATCTAATCTACCACTACGTCCCCAATAAACGGATTTTTAATAGAAAATCCAGGACCCCAATCCAAATTGGTAGGGGTCCTCCCACCTAGTTCCAGTGATGTGATTTAAGAAGGGCTTAGGAGAAGGAGACAAAATACTAGATAAGTAGGCACTAGACAATGTTGGACAGTTTTTATGTAAGTTATGTTTGTAATCATTAATTCAAATAACGTCCAACTCTGCTATGCAGTAATAGATAATTCTTGTTTTAAAATATTTGGTTGCCATTACGAGTAAAACTGATTTCATGATTTTTGTTTGAATTTATTTAGACAAATAAAATTGTAATCAACGGTCCTTTTGGGACTTCGGATATTGCTAAGCAAATTGCGAAAACGTATGATTTAGAATTTTTTGACGTTACTACGACTAGTCAAGATTTTATAAATGCATTGGTAAGACTATTTATTTCACGTAAATTTTAAATTATAGTTTTAAACTAGGGCTATTACCAGTAGAGCATACGATTTAAAAAAATTGGTTAGCCAGTCGCAGAAAAATGTTTAAACTCTAAAAATCAATGATTGGCTTGAAATGTTGTACAAATATTGCAAATATTTACAATATATAGACTTAAAAATATATTTAATTACCAGCAAGCTTTAAAAAAAAAATATATTTCAAAAGTTAAGTAAATCGAATTTTTAATAGCCATATAATACCAAACATATGTTATGTTAAATAAATGTATAAATATTCCAATGTCTAGTCCAACAGATTTTAATTTTTTTTTACAGGAGTCTCAAACGTACAGTATTTTTACTAGTACAAATAAAACGACTAAGATATCAAGTTCGACGATACCTAAAGTTTCAAGTAACAATAGTCGGCAAAACGAAAATGAAAACTATAACGCGGAAACGAATAAAATTAAAGAAATTATAAAAGAACAGAAAAAACAAATTAAAGATAAAGGTCAAATTTCTATAAAATATCTCATTCCGTAAGTTCAAAATGTTTATTTTAATTTTAAATTGTTTGTACATTGATTTTCATAAAAACGCACTATGATTTTTTAGTATTATTTTTGATTTTAAGCTCTACGTTATCTATTTTTGTATGCTATATACAAATAAAAAGTAATAAAATCATTTGCGTAAAATTATAAAGTGAAAAGTTTTCTAATTGAAAATCTGTTAAAAACATTCAAATCCACAAACATTAGGGATAATATATAATTTAAATAAAATATTTACTAAAAAAATATAATTAAATATGAGTTTAATTTCATTTGTATTGATATTATTATAAAATTATAGATTTATACAAAAAAAATTGTGGAGTAGCGAGGGATTGTGCCGTGGCTATATTATTCATAACTATCCTGAAACCATTCAAGAAGCTCAAATAGTTTTCGAAACGAAACCATCAAATGAAACATACACATTTTTACCGGATATAGATATCTCACCGAGTACTTCTATGGAATAAAATTTCTTGTCGTTAAATTTGAATACGAATTGAAATTTGTTTTTACCGTTTCAGCGATAATTATCGATTTGGTCATGACCGGAGAAACGGTAAAACACGATGACATGTTTGATTCACCATCTGAGACGACTACCTCCTCTATGCCAAAAAACGTATTTTCCAAAGATACTATGTACAGTGAAAATGATATTGTACAACACATGTTTAATAACGAGTACGGAAATTATCATAAATATATTATATTACCAAAACGTCTTGAAAATGTATACTAATAAAGTTTTTTTTTTTTTAAGTTTTTTGGAAATAAGAAAAAATCGCCAAGCAGTAAACTATATGATATCGCGATTTCAACCAAAAGTATTAAAGAAATACTTGACGATTGAGTTAGAAAATCCTGAACTATTATCATTAAATTACTTTGATGAACTATACGAATCAATTTTGGCCGACATACCTTTGGAAACTAAAAGTAACTAGTTAATTCAATTGAACAACAAAAAGCAATAACGCAATTTATTGAAATAAAAATATAATATTTTACACGAATAAACTACAAACCGAATGTTCAAGTGATCCGTTATATTTTAAATAAAGAACCATTTAAATAGAAAATTATGCGAATACGCCCGACAACGCTGTATTACATTGTTCTAATCTAATTAATATAATATAAATATTTAGATAATTGTTATGATATAACTGAAATGAAAACAAAAATCAATCAAATCCTAAACGAAAATCCTATTGAACAAATAGAAATTAATATGGAACACAATGACAACGTAATAGACAAAGTAAGTGTTTTTTTAACTTCAACAAGTAAAATAATTACTTACTTGACCGCCTTCTGGACTTAGTCGGCAGATATTCTGAAACAGAAACAAGATAAAGAAGAAGAACAGCTATTGCTAAACAATGCTAAACTTATTAATTTCTTAATAAAAGTCGTGAACCCAATATTAGTACGTGGGATTATTGAAGTTTCTAAAAATCAACCTAGTGATCCCGTCGATGCATTGGTAATATTTTTTCACTAGGTATTTGTATTATTTATGCTTACAAAAATAAATGTTGTAGGCTGAATATATTTACAACAACAATACATACGATCCTTGTGCTACTACGCCACCAATAAAAAAGAAGAAATCACCGAAATACAACATACACCTACTATAGATGGTATCGAATACCTTATGAACATTGTTTTTGTTTTGAAATTCAAATTAATACTGTTTATATTAGTTATTCTTATTATTAATTATTCTTCATTTTCGATACATAGCTGAGTCGGTTTAATTTAAAATAAATATGTCGTTCAATTAGTAGTCACCTAATGATTTTTAGTTGTTTTTTAATATTAGTTTTGGAAAAGAAAAGCGTATTAAGTTTTATTTAAACTTAAGTTTGTAAAAGGCTGTTACAAAATATAAACCGTGTACGTGTGAACATTTATTCACACGTTAAAAAATTGTTATTAATTAAAAATCAGGTGGTTTCTCGTAATATAAAGCCTATTAAACTTTTTATTTATGTACATCAATCAAATTAAATACAAGGTCACTCAAAATATTACAGCAAAAATATGTTTTTATTTTAAATATTCTACAAAATTTTTTATAGTAATTTTTATGGTTATAATAATTTTAATGTTCAAAATTAAGGCGAAATTTGTGGGTTAACTTAAGAAACTACAAGTGCCACCTAGTAAATGGTAATGTTAAGATTAACCAGATTATCTTACACTGAACTATACTATAACTGTATGTACGATTGTGGGATACGGACAAAAGACCTACATACTAATTTGTACTGAAAATCCTTAGTATGGTTATTACTTATCTTATTCTTTAGTTTCGATGCGGTAGCTGATTTTATCATGATGTTTTTTTTTGTGTCTAAACTCTTTTAAAGCCTGATTTCTTGAGTGGCAATTGTATAAATCTGAAATCGTATGCGGTTGCTACTTTGATGGGTTAAAAGTTGAAAAAGACAATTCCTTCACTTCCAAAACCAGGAAGAACCGAAAACGAGTTGACCGGATTTCAACCTTCAACTTTGATATGCTCTAACTTAGTGAAAAACGATCGGATTAAGTCGAGATTTTTATAGAATATTTATTAGGCATACCTCTTCCACCAATTGTCTCAAACCCTATTTTCGATAACCTGTTTCCTTCCACAGAGGTTATGGAGACTTTGGTTTTTGGGGTTAAGAGCTGAAAATTAGTCTAAAGATAGGTCTAAAAGAGTAATAAACCTAGAACATATGTAAAAAAAAATATTTAGTCAACATTTTTTTTTATTATGGAAAAACTCAAAACCTACACTAAAAGTATAACTATCTAGTAACTTCTAAATCATTTGTTATCGAGTTAGGAACTATATATAATTTGTTGAGTCAGTGGCTATATCTGAGAGCATCTATACCTCACACTTAAAACTTATCGTTGCCCCAGTGGTAGTGGAGGCTGTAATCTATGATCAAAACGAAACCTTTAAAGTTTAAACTATAGTGACCATGAAAAAATGACACTTCAAACCCGATACCTGATTTTATTATTTTAATTTCTTATTCTGTATTAAACATTTTACTAAGCAATATTCTTATTTTTTATTTACCTAAATTAATTTTAAGGGTAAACATCTGTTTTCTTGTATATTCATATTATAATATAATTCTTCTTTTTGGGAATGTCAAATAACCAATAAAGATAACAAAAGAGCGTTTGCAATGATGATATTATAATGTAGTTTTAGTGTCAAATAACCGGCAATAATGTTTGGTAAAGAATCTTTTTATAAGCAGTTAATCAAACCATTTTAATAGTTTTTTATTGAAAATTATCTGTTTTTATTTTTTAATTTCAACGGAGTGGTCTAATAAACATATTACAAAATTTGAAACCAATTATATGAACGCTTAGGCACGCTTTGCATATAAATCGTAATTCGATAGGAGATGCATGATTCGATATTAAAAATGCTTTTAGTATTGAATCTTGCATTGTGTAAGATTTAAAATATTAAAGTTGTCGGCCATGTTTAGCTAAATATAAGCCAGTAAAAAACCGGGAGTGGGACTGATGACGTTTATAAACCAAACTAGTTTGCATATGAAACATAAACAAAACTAGTTTGCATATGAAACAATGGCAAGTTTTTAAGCACCGTTTATCAGCCAAGGCTCACAATCATTTTCCATTATCTTTTCCTTCATTTCAATTACATAAAATCAAACGAAGAGATTTGTACATCGCAAAAGCAAAAATTACGAGTTTTAACGTATTAGTAACATGGATATTATATAATACAACGTTTTTTAAGAACCCCTGGCATGTGTTATTTCAAAGAGAAATCAATTTGGACGGTGATTTTTGTTGTCGTGGTTTTCTGTAATTATTCAAAAATAACATTGAATTAAAAATCATGTATCAAATATTTCTACTTAATAATTTTTTTTTATTTGTACTCAATGTTTTTTGATCACGTGTATAATGACTTTAGGAAAACTGCTAATCATCAGTGAGTTTCTGTTAATAGTGCCGGTAATATGCCATCATCAAAAACAGTCGATGCTGGCCGGTGGAGAGGTGGCTGATGCTTATGAATTTCCTTTTATGGTGGTTTTATCTCATAAATCCCTGTCGTGTTCAGGGGCGATTATATCCCCAGAGTGGGTTTTAACAGCAGCTCACTGTTTCGCCAACAATTACATGTTTCGTTTGCAAGCCTGCGACGTGAAAATAATAGCCGGCTCGGTAAACCATGCTCAACTAAACGAAAACACCCAAGTCAGGCAGGGACTCGAAGTTATCATTCATCCCAGTTATAAGGTAAACATTTTTTTGCTTTCACGCGCCGATAATATAAATGTTGCACTAAAGTTCAGCTGCTTTTGCCATAAAGGTAAAGCAAGTTGCTAACGACGATTTAGCTCTTGTGAGGGTGAAACCATTTATCATGACTCCTGCTGTTGGTGTTATACATTTGTCGGATAAAGGACTTCCGGAAAACGACTACATGCCGTGCACGGCTGTCGGATGGGGAGAAATCGACAAACCACCTGGTCGGAGGAATACATTGTTGCATAAACTAGAAGTATTAGCCGCGATATCAGCCAAAGCGTGCCCGGGTCTTACAGCTTGGGAAAGAACGAGAATAATTTGTTTGCAACAAAATAAAGGCAAGGGACTTTGCGATGGCGACTCTGGTGGTCCGCTCGTTTGTGAAGGTGAAATACTATAACCACAAGTGGGAGTTTTCAACTTCATATGTACGGTATCCAGCAATATTAGCCGATAGCACCTATCCGCAACCGATACCGTACATTAGCGAAAACTCCCAGAGATAGAATTTTAAATTATAAAATACGATACAAATTCTAGGTGAACTTTACGGAATAGCTCATCAAGTGTACAAAGAAATAAAACATGAATCCGAACGGAAAGACTTAGAGCGCTGTGGAGCTACTGGTATTACTCACACATACATGTTTGTATGCCCATACTTAGACTGGATACATTATCATGTCGAGAGTGTATGTAGAATGCCATTGTCTTGCTATCGAGATAGTAACATTACCAACTGATGTGGATTGTGGAGTAAACCGATGGACGGTTTAGAGCACCGAAGGATTCTTCAAAAAAGAAAAATTATACTTAGTTGTGGTCAACCCTATTAGGTACATTTGAAGCTGTAACCGCGTAAATTTCAATTATTCTAAGATGTTTTTCATTGTTTTATTACTCTGGTTTAAGAGATTTCAAATAATTGTAAACTACTTCCTACTTAAATAATAAGAAACACAGGTTTGTATAAACAAAACCTTTGCATAATTTACGAAAATAAATTGTTATTATTACTCCACCAGGCCTTTGCTATAGGTACTAGATTTCATAGTTTAAACGAGATGTCGAATTCCAGAAGCGTTGATACGTTACTTAAGAGAAGTACAAACATTTAGTACAAAAAAAGCTCTGAATAAGAGCACTAGAGTGATCCTTATTTTAAATTGTGACACGGCCCGTAAGTGCATGTTCCATTTATTAACGTGCGCCCGGTCGTGTTATCAACTGTCCATCGTCTCACTACAGGTGGGAATGATAAACCACTATATCGGCCCGCCGAGCCGGCCATCGGTGTATGAAGAGGTCCGGCGGGTGTTCATTAAAGCGAAACACGCCGTCGATGACTACTGTAGGTAATCTGATAATCAGTTATTAATTTAACATTGATCCGCGATTACCATCCGCCGCCGTTCCGCGCATTTATCGTTATTTTTTTCAATTGTACTTTTGTTTTAAGAAAAGTTAAATAAAACAAAGTTCTTAGAACACAAACGTAATTCGGTGTTTAACTAAATTCATTTAAACAACCATTTACTACCGTATCAAAGTTGGCTCCCTGCAAAGGGGAATAGAACCGGTATTCAGCAAAACCAGGTAAGATTATTTTGGCTGCTGTTTTATTGAGGAAAAAATGTACACTTGATTTAAATAATATTTAATTTGACATAAATTGCCAAAATATTTATTCGTGTAAATTTTGTTTTTTTTCCACCCTACTATTGTAGTATTTACAACAAATATAAACCCAGTTAGGCCACATACGTGACGTGATAATACCGGCGTACAATATACAGGTTAGGATTATAATAACGATCATCTTGTTATTGTTATTGTAACGCATATCACACCCGCGTCCCGGTACCGTCCACCATACGATTAAGTTGAAAGATACCAAATAACGATCACCGTTGGAAAATAAATTCACTTTTTTCGCATAATATTTATATTAAATAACATAAATTTATATTTATTTGTTTTTTTTCTTCTGCGGCTATTTATTAAGTAGTAACGCGCACGGCCGTATTTGACTTACGCTATTTACTTCGGTTAAAAATGTACCAAATTGACAAGCATATTTGCGAATAGTTACTACTTTTTTTTTAAGTGGAACCGAATGAAAGAAAACTAAAATATTGAAGAAAGAAATAGGGTTTATATACATTTTTTTCATTTTTATAAACAAACACCTTATTTAGTTACTACTTTTAAACAGCATATGACGACAAAAAAAAAAAAAAATAAGTAATAACAATGCTTTTGTTTTTCTCTTAAACGTTCCGATTATTTTTCATTAGTTAAAAAAAAAAATAGAAAAAAAAAGTAAAAGATCGTGAAAGCAAAAAATCTTAACTTTTTTTTCGGAGGCATTGGATTGTATTGGTATTCGTATACTAGATTATATTTGAATCGCCAATACCCGCTTACCCTTACGGTTTTTTTTCTTTCTTTCATTACATTTAAAAGAAAAAGAAGAAGGATTAAGGTCAGTTACAAGGTTAACAAAAAAACATATTTTTTTTATAATGAAAAAATGAATGCGAAATTGGCAAGACAATTGTATCTAGAGCATTAAAATACTGTGAGTCATTAGGTATATTTCAAAATGCAAATTCTACAGCAGAATTTTGGTTATTTATGAACAATGCATTTGACATTTTAAATTGCCGTACAAAATTTTCAAACACCCCATACAACTTGGTATTATTTCCAAATACATATATAAAGTTTAAACAATTTATTGAATTATTGGAAGAGTATGTAATTAGTCTAAAGCTAATCGATGGATCAAATGTTGTGAACTCTCATTGTAGCACTGACCGTTGCTCGAGACTCATGTGCGCTTATCTTCGTTATCGATCGTGTGTTATTCGTTTTGTTGTTGTGCGCTATTTTTATCTAAATTATAATTATTTACTATAGTTTGTTTAATTTACAATTATAATAACATATTTTTTATAAATACTGTTTTTCTTTCTGCAACTATGCCTAATTCATCTGGTCGGAATGATACACCCGCTAAAAAATCTGAACCACCGTACAATAGCAACGTACAAAAAACAGAATATTCAGTTTCCGATATTATGTCATACTTAAAAAATATGCAAAGTGGTCATGACTCTAAATTAGCTAATATACAATCTGTTCTTTCGAAATATGGAGATAAATTTGAGGTATTGTTATAAAAACTGATTTTTCTCATATTGAGCAGAGCAGAGCAGAGCGAGCGTACGCTTGAGCGGTCAGGAGTTTTAGTATGTTAATAAGTACCCTAAGGTGAACAGTTGTGCCAAATTTCAAAACTATGGGAATATTTTCCAGGTAACAATGCTATAATTCCTGAACTATTAGTTCTAACTTCGAACCTAAACTTAATGCTATGAATTTAACTGAATGTAAATATAATTTTCAAGCAGGTTTTAGACGAAATAGACCTACCACAGATCAGATATTTATATTGAAACAAATTTTCCAAAAAATGTGGGAGTTTGACAGAGAAGTACATGTAGTATTTATCGATTTCAAGAAGGCGTATGATTGTATACATAGAGAATCTCTCTTAAATATACTAAGGCAGTTCAAATTGCCCCAGAAATTAATTAACCTGGTAAAAGCAAACATCCTACATACGGAAATCAAGATCAAAGTTGGCAATATTGTATCACAAGGGATACCAGTAACGACTGGGTTGAGACAAGGGGATGCTTTGTCACTTATACTATTTAATATAGCGTTAGAAAAGGTCATCAGGGAGAGCCATATTGAAGATAACGGAGTGCGTTTGGGTGGTTGCATAATAGGAGTATTGGCCTACGCAGACGACATAGTATTACTGGAGGAAAGTAAGAAAAATTTCATTGAGCAAGCGGGAAAACTATTAGATACGGCCAAAAGAGTAGGTTTAGAAATAAATGCTAAAAAAACTGAGTATATGATCGTGCAGATAAGAGAGGTCGCGGATCATGTTAACCCACTTTTAGAAGTTGGTCAGTACAAGTTTCAGAGAGTGCAAGAGTTCAAATATCTGGGATCGATATTGACACAAAAATCGACGAACTTACTGAAATAAAAGCGAGACTCCAATCCGGTAATAAATGTTACTACGGACTAAACAAATTGTTAAAGGCGAGAACGATATCGAAGAACTTCAAGATACAGCTGTATCGCACTCTCATCCGACCAGTAGTGATGTACGGATGTGAAGTGTGGACATTACGGAAATCAGAGCAAAACAGACTGCTGATTTTCGAAAGAAAAAAGTTTTTCAGCCGAGTCTGCAATCACGAAAGAGCATTTTCATGTCTCGTTGAAGTACCGAATAAATTTAGATTAGTAATTATAATCGTCAAGTTTCTGGCTAAAATTGAAGTGTTTATTATCTTGCCAAAAGTAACTTAACATAGAAAATTAAACTATTTTGAATTTATTATTTAGTTCTAATTTGAACGTTGAACGTACAACATATCTCTTATCTCCTATATCTTACCCCTATCCCTTACCCACTATCTCCCGTCCCTATCACTCACCCCTATTCCCTACACCTATCTGATAGCTCATATCAGATAACAGCGTAACACTTTTTTCGTTATGCTTTTTTCGTTACGCTTTTTTCGGTTATGCACCACAGCTAATTCCACCCCATTCCCATTCTCATTCCCACCCCCAACTTCATCTTCATCCCAATTTATTTTTTCGTTAACGCTTTTTTCGGTTATGTACCAGAGCCTAGACATGAAAATGTCAAAATATTAAGACGAATCTTCAGACCGTGTATAGATGAAAACACGGGGGAATGGAGAATTCGAAAAAAAGAAGAGCTTAAACAGTTGTACCAAATGCCTGATATAATTAGAGAAACAAAAAAAAGGAGACTCCAATGGGTAGGACATGCATGGAGAAAAGAAGGAACTTTAATTCGCGGATGGTTCAATGTGGGACTCCGCAAGGAAAGAGACCTCTGGGGCGACCACGACTAAGATGGGAGGACCAAGTCAGGAAGGATTTGCAAATGCTAGACCCAAATGCCATTTGGCATGACATAGCGATGGATAGGGGGAAGTGGCAAGATTTATGTTTGAACGTATGATCTTAATGGTCGATTACAAAGAAGAAGAGAAGTAAATATAATTTTAAACGCGCTGACTTTTCAATGGTGGATTGGCTTAACATTTTCAATGGTAAGGATGTGGATACTGTCACAAATATTTTTAATGATACTAAGTGCCATTGATTTGTTTATTTCTAAATTCACTTCTTGTCAGGATTCTTTCCCCTTTGGTTTACGTTAGAACTAAAAAATATGATTCGCTACATTCATAATTCAAACAATCAGGTACTCCTTTAATCCATGATCAACTCGTAAATATCCGTCGTAGGTGTAAACTACTCTCTAAACAATGTTATGATAGTTATTTACTTAAAATCCAAAATAACCTAATTACTAATCCTCGTTCTTTCTAGAAATTTGTTAAAGATAGAAAAAATCTAAATGTTTTGCCTGACACCATGCGTTATGAGAACATTATTGCTGATAATACCCAAGATACTTCTATCCTATTTGCTAATTACTTTTCTACGGTTTACTCAAGCACTATACAGCCTACTACTGATAATTTTTGCAATTTACCAAACCAGGATTTACTAGATATATCTAATTTTGATATATCTATAACCGATGTTTTTGAGGGCATTATGTCTATAAAAAATGACTTTATCCCTGGTCCTGATAAAATACCATCAATAGTTTTAAAAAATTGCCTATATGTGTTAACATTACCAGTACACTACTTATTCAATTTATCACTTAAGTCTGGTACTTTTCCATCATGCTGGAAATCTAGCTACCTTACGCCATTTTTAAATCGGGTGACAAGGCCCATATTGTTAATTACTGGCCAATTTCTAAACTGAGTGCGTTACCTAAGCTTTTTGAAAAAATATTATACTCTAAACTCTCTGTTAGGGTTAATCATATAATTTCTAGTCAGCAACATGGATTTTTGCCTGGTAAATCTACCATAACTAATTTACTAGTATATAATACTGATTTAATTTCAGTTATTGAGAAAGGTGGCCAATTTGATAGTATATAACCGATTTGAGAATAGCATTTGACTCTGTAAATCATAATTTGTTAGTAACTAAACTTTGTGTATTAGGGATTAGGGACCCATTTTTATCCTGGTTAAAATCATATTTAACCAGTCGAACTCAGCAAGTAAAATTAGCTTCTAAAGTATCCCAAGTAATTAATGTTAGTTCGGGTGTACCACAAGGGGGTCATTTATCACCCATTTTGTTTTTATTGTTTGTTAATGAAATCCTAAATATTTTTAACTATTGCAAATGTCTAATGTTTGCGGATGACCTAAAGATATACACGGAAATTACATCTGAGGCTGACTGTTTTAAACTCCAGGATGATTTAAACAAATTTGTAACCTGGTGCATGAATAATAGTCTTTCAATAAATTCGAAAAAATGTATGAAATTTTTTTTCATTTAATCAGCATGTTAAAAATATAAAGTTAAAAGCTTTAAAAACATTAGGTTTCATTAGGAGAAATTGTTATAATTTTTTAAGTTTAATGTGCATCAAAACTCTGTATATTAGTTTAGTTCGTTCAATTTTAGAGTATGCCTCCATACTGTGGAATCCGGTCCAAAGTGGACCTACTGACGACTTAGAACGTATCCAAGACTGTTTTTTGCGTACAGTAAGCTATAAATTTAATATGCAAACTGAGCATAAATTCAATTCTGTCTTTATTAAATCTCGATAAGCTCGCATACTGACGTCATCTAAATGATTTAATTTTTATTCACAAGTTGTTTAACAATGTTATCGATAGTCCTTTCTTCAATTCTCGCTCGCGTCCACCCTTCCATGTAAGTTTCCACCGCCAAAATTATAGTTTTTTCACCCCTATTAACCGTATTTGTATTGCTTACAACAACTTACCTCCCTCTTTTGATATCTTTCATGACTCCTTTCTTCATTTAAAATTGGCTTTAACCCATAACTGATTTAGGCCCATTTATACTTAATCATTTAATTAATGTCTTCTTTATATTTTGTTTGGTAACGTTTATTATAAAAATTGTGTTATTTCCTTTATTGGTACCGTTTATAATTCTTAATTTGTAATTTATTTATTTGTATGCTACACTATTGCCTTCGGGGCGTTAAATATATATATTATTATTAAAATAACAGGATTTGTATGTCTAATATAAGCCTTAAAATATTGGTTCAATTTTTATGATATAATACAAGAAAAAGATTATGATATGGAGTAAATTCTTTTATACAAAATTTCAAGTATATTGTAAAATTTTGACAACATAAATTCTGGTAGATAATTACCATAATGTAATCCACTAACATGGTGAAGAACTAAAAACTTTTTATAGGATGCTTTAAACTCTCCTTTACTGAAGGGTTGTTATTAAACCCACCTTTTGATCTCACTGTACTGAAAAACATGTCTAAGTGGTATCAATGTATTTGGTATAGGATGGGCCGGTCTATGAGTAAAAGGTCTATGTTTTTTTTACATATTTTATACTTTTGTCTTATAAAATAGATTTCAAAACAGGGTACTGGACAGGCGCCAGTAAAGATCAAGATAGGCAATTGTTAGAACATGAATCAACTGCTTAATCAACGCAGAGCATGCCTACGTCGCTATCCTAAGTATACTACAACCCTAAAAATTGTAACTGCACAGAAATAACATCATACTAAGATGTTATCTGAAAACGAAGAATTCGTTGGTAAAAATTAAATCGTTCCATTGGAATCAACGCAGAGCATGCCTACGTCGCTATCCTAAGTATACTACAACCCTAAAAATTGTAACTGCACAGAAACAACATCATACTAAGATGTTATCTGAAAACGAAGAATTCGTTGGTAAAAATTAAATCGTTCCATTGGAATCAACGCAGAGCATGCCTACGTCGCTATCCTAAGTATACTACAACCCTAAAAATTGTAACTGCACAGAAATAACATCATACTAAGATGTTATCTGAAAACGAAGAATTCGTTGGTAAAAATTAAATCGTTCCATTGGAATCAACGCAGAGCATGCCTACGTTGCTATCCTAAGTATACTACAACCCTAAAAATTGTAACTGCACAGAAACAACATCATACTAAGATGTTATCTGAAAACGAAGAATTCGTTGGTAAAAATTAAATCGTTCCATTGGAATCAACGCAGAGCATGCCTACGTCGCTATCCTAAGTATACTACAACCCTAAAAATTGTAACTGCACAGAAACAACATCATACTAAGATGTTATCTGAAAACGAAGAATTCGTTGGTAAAAATTAAATCGTTCCATTGGAATCAACGCAGAGCATGCCTACGTCGCTATCCTAAGTATACTACAACCCTAAAAATTGTAACTGCACAGAAACAACATCATACTAAGATGTTATCTGAAAACGAAGAATTCGTTGGTAAAAATTAAATCGTTCCATTGGAATCAACGCAGAGCATGCCTACGTCGCTATCCTAAGTATACTACAACCCTAAAAATTGTAACTGCACAGAAACAACATCATACTAAGATGTTATCTGAAAACGAAGAATTCGTTGGTAAAAATTAAATCGTTCCATTGGAATCAACGCAGAGCATGCCTACGTCGCTATCCTAAGTATACTACAACCCTAAAAATTGTAACTGCACAGAAACAACATCATACTAAGATGTTATCTGAAAACGAAGAATTCGATGTTAAAAATTATATCGTTCCATTGGAATCGTTGTGGAAAGTTAAAAAAAAAAATCCTTAGATATAAAATGCAACATACAGAGGTAGTGGATAAAACATCTGTGTACTACGAACTAACGCTCCTCATAAGTTGACTATTTTTTATTATGATAAACACGTAGCACCTAATTGCCAAACGCAATCACATTCCTGTATCGCCTTTCTATGACCTTACAATAGACTTCGATACATAAATGTAAGTTGGATCTCTTGTATGTTGAACATTCACGCATTACAAATACCGAAGGGTATCATTAACTTATAATTCTGTCTTTTATCACGGACGCAAGTAAGTCAAGAACACTCTCAAAAAAACTAAAAGTCCAGCTATACATACGCTAATAAGATCTATAGTATTGTATGGAGCGCAATGCTGGACTGTACGGAAAAGCGACGAAGCTAAACTGAGGGTCTTTGAAAGGAAAATATTAAGAAGGATATACGGACCCAGTCTTGACTCGCAAACAGGGGAATGGCGCAAAATACACAGTGATGAGATATATGACCTGTACAACAGACCGGATATAGTAAAGGAGATAAAAAGGGAAAGATTTGAATGGGCAGGTCACGTGTGGAGGAAACCTGAAGCTTTGACGAAGACGGCTCTACAAGAGAATCCAAAAGGGAAAAAACCCCTGGGAAGGCCCCGAATGCGATGGGAGGACTGTGTCAGGAAAGATGTAGCAGAGCTCTACCCAGATGAAGAGTGGCATGTATTGGCGCAAAACCGTGATGAATGGAGGCGTTTATGTTTGGATGTGTGGTCTAAAAGGCCGTAAACAAAAAAAAAAAAATCACGGACGCAAGAATGCACTATTTACAGTTACACCACAACTCTAGCTCAAACGTCTCACAATCAACTCTACGCATAATTCAGGACTTAACTTTTGTTTTTCATAAAATAACTCAAAAAGAACTGATAAATAACTCAATTATCATACTAAACTGTCAGAGTCTAAACGTTTTTCCCGTGAAATCTATGATACAAATATTCCAAATATTTATCTGAAATATGGCTTGAGTGTGACATTATGACTCCACACATTAATATTAATTATTACCAAACAGTTTAATTGGGTTTATCAATTCGAGACTTCGGTGATATATGCTCAGGTATGTTTATACATATGCTCAATGGTTAGGATTGACCCTATGGCTTTTTTCGAGTAGGGAACGTTAAAGCGCGGTTT